GAAACAGATTCACGCCTCGTTGGATTCACTTGAATTTTTACAGACGTTAGCAATATCTAGATATAAATTCGACTTTTTAAGAAGTAAGAGTAAGCAAAATGCAACTACTTTTAATGGCTAAGAACCAACAACAATAAACTTGAAGTCCAAGTGTGTACAATTGTCATTGATTTAAAAATGTAGTAAGTTAAAATAGAAATTAGATGAGTGTTTAAGTGGATGGGTAAACTGTGTGAAGTTTTAGTGTTACTAAATGTATGACGTTGTTGTTAATCGCTACATATTTTAGCTCAACAGTATGTTATTAGCCGTTTAGTTATATCAATTATTTAATTCCGATGCTCCCGACCCGCATTGATAGCAGTAGCATAAGGATCGACACATCTGTCGTTCTACTTTTACACCTCCTTTTTTAGCATTAGGTGTCTTTATCTGTACATACGTCCTATATTACTATAACCCTCAGCTACAGACTATTCCTACATATATATATGTATATGAATATATATATACAAGCCCTCTTCAACTTATACCCTTCTCAGCTCCGCCCGCACTCGCAATGACCCCGTCCTTCGAGCCTCAAGCCTCTGTGCACCAGCATTCTCTCTTTCCATTAGCTTTTGCGTCGATGCGTTCGTCTGCCGTTCGTTTGCCCTTGCTCTTTTGCGGGTTCATCTCCAGTGGCCTGTAAACTAAGCCTGGCCAGACGTCGGCCTCTGCGAGAATGTTGGAGCACATGGAGGGCAGCGGTCGTCAACGAAAACCCTCCGTTCAATGGGTTTCGAAAGGCAGATGGATGCAGGCGCCCATAGCTGCTGCAAGGATGCAGGCGCCTATGGCTGTTGCAAGGATGCAGGCGACGGGGAGCAGTCTGATGATAAGATCTGTTAGTGTGAGCGTCACACCATGCCCACGGCTTGCTGTGCCGACCGTTTCGCCTTTTGGTTCTGTATTTGCTTTGATACCAGCATGAGATTTTGAGTACGAGACTAACATTCTGCTAGCAGCATCGGAGGGCCAGCACATACCATCTAGACGTTCTTCGATGAACACACTGTCCGTCTCTTGTGCGGAAAGAAAACGGGTTTTTCTGGGAGTTTTGCCAATTCTGACAGAGTAGAAGCCGATTCGGTGCGGACGTGCGTCCATAAACCTGATCTGTTTACACTGTCTCAGACATATGTGCGTCAGTTGTGGATTATATCTTGAGCTAGACGTCACGGAACGATCATTGCTAGAACAATTAGGCTAGTCTGATTACAATAATCAGCATACAACTAAAAGGACTATTTCTGTGGTCGGTCTAAAGACCATGCCCTCAGAACGAGAGAATTCCAATTCCCCTTTGGCGCGTCTATGTCCAGCGAAGGCACTCAACGTCCGCTCCTCGTTGTAACGAGTCAGTCCGTCTGTTCTAGATGGAGATGGGCCGGCTTAGTAAGTTTGACACCACCGTCACAAGGCGGTCTGTGCTGGGCAGGGGGATTAGCTGATCCTCTTGGGGCGATGCATGAGAACTTGCGGCTCGCCATTAGGACGCGACTTCGGAACCATACCACCCAATCCAAGGATATCAGCGTGTTAATTGAAGATGAGAGGGGAATAATTCTGAAAAGATTCGTTTCAAGAAGCCATTGCAACAGCCCATGGAGGATCATCGGGATAACAACTAAGTTGTGTGAAAATGTGCGCGGAAGTTTCCATTTAAGATGGCAAAAAGGCAATCGAGTGCCTACGCTGTTAATCGTGTACAATCGTCTGCTTCGACAGACAAAGCTTTTGTCAGCTAATTATGTGCGCATCAAACGTGCAAGTATGTAAACCTATTTACTGATTATATGTGTTAAACCGTGATAAGAATGTCAGCTGACATATACACTCAGTTGCAATAATAATATTCTTGAAGTTTTGTTCGTAAACATCGTCAAACAATCCATGAAATGGTGGCTTGGATATACCATAAACGTGCATCGTACTCTCACTGAATCAAGTCCAGTCATTTGTTTTGTTCAGTGTTTGCGGCTTGTTACAGTTTACCAGCTCATCACTGCTATATTTACCACTTACCCTCCGTGCTCTGTTTCACTTTTCGCTGTTTGGTAGCAGTGGCCTGAGGCCACACGGGCTGACTTACTGGACCTGTCCGCGGTCTCTTGGAGTCCTGTCTGTTTCAGGATCGGCCGGTAATCCCAGTTTTTCTCTTTCCCTATCTTGGTGCTTGCTTTTTCCTTAGCCCGCTTCATCCCCGCCGTTCCCTCCCGGAGGATAACTTTTCCGAGTTCCCCGTTTGCTTCCGGCTGGCTGCCCGACCAGCTTTCCGATTCTTTCGCTTGTGCACTCGTTCCTCCAATGTGTTTCCTGTGCCACTGTGCCGACATTTTCTCTTTGCGCGAAATCTTCCCCTGATTTACGATAATTTCACTTTGTCATTGCCCATAGCCACCGCTTTTTCCATTCGCTACGGCCTCAGAAACTCCGTAGTCCCAAAAGCTCTAACCGCTAGCCTGTCTCTTGCCATTTCCCAGGCTACAAGCGCCCAGGTCCGCAGCAGAGACAGATCTTCCTGCCTTCATGAGGGCGAACGCGTGAACGTAAAGAGACGCTGCGTGAAGAGAGAAAACGAAAACGAACACGCTGGTAGCAACGAACAGTCCAACGGCAACCGGCAAAATACGTGTAAGAAAAGATCGAACAGATAAAATAAAGAGAACCAAGAAAATCGTTAACCTTGAACGTGGCAGCACAAGGCTTTGTCAAGAATCGATGGCCGGGCAGCTGCGATGAGAAAAAAGGATTACATCGCCAGCAAACGTCCAGCTAGGGAAGGAAACTGACGTTCGTTCCACAAAGCCCACCCAAACTCCGAAGTATCGTACATCCACCGACGACCGGAAACTCTCGAGTGGCGCAAGTAGGAGAATGAGAGGAAGTTTAAGGAAAAGGTCGAAACTAACGAAGTGAGGAAGTTATGTAGATTCGTGCGAGAGTGCTCACAAAAGTGCGTGCAAGAGCGGCACAAGAGCTTCTCGAAGTCAGCGATGATGAGGTCGTTCAGCTGAATATTTCTTCATCAGGGAATAGAAAGAACGCTAGCTTACTTTTCACATGGCTTCAAGATGAGTCAAAGGGTTTTGCACTAACCTAGAGAAGTTTGAATTGGCGGCAGGTCAAATGTCTCGCGTTTAATGGATAACCACTGATGAAAGGAGAATTTAAATTTCAATGTGTTCTTCGAACAGCTTGTGTTTTAAAAGTAGGTAAAGAAAATGTAACGCCCATATTGTGTAATGCACAGAAAGGCAGGGTGGAAAAGAAGCTATTGTGCCATGCATTGGCTCATAGTTACGCAGCCACAACTAGTCGGCCTGCCAACGTTATCCAATAAGTAAGCGTAGCCTGTGTAGAATGCCGCCTATAAGAATGTAATGTTTGTTAGAAATTTTTCGATATGCTTCGTGTGTGCCGTCCCTGAGAACAAAAAGGCTACCTCAGCCTGCAATGAAGTTTGTAAAATCGGAAACTGACATTGATCCATAGCATCTTATCATAGCCAAACGTAGGAGGTTAGTAGGTCTAGCACAGATCCCCTCAGAAAAATTGCCTCAGACCAGTACATCTGTGGTGACTGACTTTGATAAATTGCCAAATCGGCTTTTAACACATCCGAGACGTGTTTTTGTGCAGGAAGTCAATTACTGAGTAAGTATTTCGCCAAAAGTGGGAATGTGTTCGGGTTCGAGTGAAAAAACGAGAAAAAAAGTAAAAACAGCTTGCCACCGCAATGAGCAGTTGAAACTATTCTTTTTAAAAAAGAGACTGCCATTAGAAAATCCAGAGATTTGCGAAAAACTATTTGTTTAGTTTGAAAAATTTGTTTAGTTCCTCTTAGTTTATCAGCTTATTTATTATAACCTACTGTTCTACGTGGGGATGTATAGCAATAGTTTTTTTGAACACTTTCTTAGAGCAAACACGCTATTTATATTCGAGCTAACTCGAAAAACATCAATTCAGTATTAGGAACTTTAACCCCGCAAGGATTTTAACTCCGCAACTAAAGTATAATTCAGTATTTTTATGGAACAGATTCTGCTACGTGAGATATTCTATTTAGAAATTTAATATCGCATCAGACTCCTTGCTTGGCGTTCTCCCCTTATTTTGCTACCATCACATAGCCTCCCTGAATGTTTAGATTACGTATTAAAATAACACGCCATTAGAAAAATCTGCTCTTTCACTCACGAACAACAGCGATAGCAATAGCTAGGGGGGTACATAAATCTGTTGCCGACCGCATAATATGTTGATAGTATTGCAATAACCAAAATAATTGCTTTTTTTCTTTGAATAGCTCCAGATAGGAAACAGCTGAGATACTTCGTATCAAATGTGTGGGAATCCCAGTTGTAGGAATCGCGAGACACGTAAATTTTCCTCGTATGCTCGTGCCCGACTCATCTAGAGAAAGAAACTGCCTCACAGGTTGCGGGTTTCGCACCGTTCCTCCTGTCTAAGTATATGGCGAAGAGCTTATGTGTGGTCAACACGCACAAGACGTCAAGCCATTTTGATGTTATACAAAGGACTAGCTTCATCGATCCGCGTACCCATTCTTTGGATCATTATTTTTAGCGAGTCTCGTTTGTGATTCCAGTACGATGTAGTCTTTTCCCTGATAGCCCTATGTTAGGGACGAGAAATGCGGTCTGCATACATTTATAATAAATGAATTTATCATGCCCTCTTGGCTGTTACATAGCCTGTACCCTTCATCTTGTCGTCTTAGATTGTCCTAGCTGTGAACTAGCCCCCCGCGAAGGTCCTTTATGATCGGACTACGAGTAGGTTCAATTACATTCCTTTAAACAACAGCCGATTATGTCGACAAAGGGCGATTCTTTGTCGATTAGCAAAAAAACGGGCGTCCTAACCTGACCTATTATAAGTCACTTCAATAAATTACAAGCGCACACTTTTGAATTTTTTTATTGCGGCAGTTACTAGCTGTAACAACGAGGTGTCCCAGATCGTCAGAAAGTATGACCGCTCCTGCGATTGAGTAGGCCACAGTCGTATCGAACTCCGTTTAGAAGATCATTGACTTGCTGAAGTCCACTGAAATGTATATTAATATATTTTTCTGAATAATTCACATCACTCAAAGCCTGATTGTTTATCATACAATGTTATAAATAAACGCTTGTCAATGTCATCCGCTCAAGAAAATTATCAGATGATTCTAGCGTTGTGAACGTTTAGGTAGCTAGGGCAATTAAAAGGTCTGTCTGTGCGGATTATGTTGAACAATCTGTACAAACAAATTTGGACCAATAAACCTAGAATTTGATAAAGCGGGTCCAAGGAAACGGATAAATTTTTTTCACCTCGGTGGCATGTTCCTCCTGAATTTGAAAGGATCCCTCAGTGATTGAATATTCGGATGAAGCCATGGCCGTTCAGCGGAGGTTTCTACGCTTAGAAGCATCACCACGATGCCAAATATTGGATAGATGAACGCCCGGAGGCCCGTGAGTGACAGTTGAACCATAATTATTATCCAGGCGACGGTTGCAAGGAGCAACGCAATCTCGCTGGGAAATCTAATTACGGTCAACAACATGGCCTATCAATTTTGAAAACAGTTTGTGCTATAGAAGACAAAGTCGAAAGCTCTTGGTTAGCATTTTTTTTGCTCGGTATTTGTTTTCTACAGGAGCTTTCAAGTAAGAGGACTTAAGATATTCATCGAATTCCGAGACATCGATATTACTATTTACGCATTTAAATCTTGGTCTACTTTCTCGTAGACGGCGTTCTAACCTCGTAGAAGAAGAGCTCCAAAAGCTATGAAGCTAGTAAAAAAAGTTCGTTTATAGATCTTCTGAGTTGGGCATTGCTAATTGGCAAGTAGTCCGAATGCACTCAGTCGACACTTTCTCTGCTGTTCGCTGAAGTAAACCCTATCTGCTAGATTTGTATTGTTTGATTCATCAGATAAACGCGATTACCTAATGCACTGTGCTTTTAACGTTAAGAGAATAGCCGACCGATCAGAGGTGTTGAAAGCATGGACCTGTACTAGTTGTATACAAGGCGACCGCTTACTAATTTCGTGTCGCTTGTACCTGGGCCTGATTTTGATAAATTTCACTCGGAGCTGCGAGAAGCGGGAGGACAGCTTCGTTATGTTCGAAGAAAAATACTTAGAAATTTTGTATTTCTATAGAAGATAGGATTGAGTTAATTATGGTTACAGGTTGCTTATCTGGTCCACTGAAACAACAGAAAGTGGCGTTGAGAACAATTTTAGAAATAAGAACTTCCTTAATAAACGCCAACTAGCAACAATTAAGCGGAGGTCAACGTTCGAATCGACGTAGTAGAAACGCCGTTATCACAACGAAGGCTGTTAATAACAAATAGTTTTTATTGACATCAAACGATAGAAACACACACACACACGCATAATAGAAGGTAATGCAAACGTTTTCGAAACAACGATTTCTCTTTGAAAAATCTGTTAAAACGATTATTCACTGGACGATAAAGCGCAATTGCACTTCCCTCAAATAGTATTCGTACCATTAACTACAACTGAACGAATATTCCATATATCTACATATAGAAAGAACAGAGTGTAGCTATATCAGCACCGGCATCTTCATAGGATAAAAGAATATGTAATAAATATTCGTGCGATCGTGTCCTTTTCAATTTCGCACAGTGCGCGCCTATTACCTAGGACGCATGTGATCAGATGCCCAGACAAAAGTTGGTTTCTGTTTGAAAAAGTTGACCGAGAGAAAAGCTGATTCGGGAAGAAAGGCTCCAGCAGCTGTGTATGTCCGTCGTCGAGAGAGCGCCGTCAAGAATTCTTTTCCTTATGGCCAGCCTTCGTCAATGGCGTACACTGTTTCACTCACCAGGTCCTCCTTTTTTTCACTATGTAGTCCTATGGCGTGGCCTTTGATGGCGTTTTGATAGCGGAACTGCCCCGTAGCCGAATTGTAGCCGACCACGTACAGAAGAGCTGGGTACAAATTGGAATTTAAAGGCCTTTTCTTCACTTTCTTTATCTTTAGCGTACACAGTGGCAGCGGCGGCGGCGGCGGCCCGGAGCCACCGCATCGATGATAGGCCGCACATTGAGACTTTTACTGCCTTTTAAAACTTCACCATTCGAGTAGCATCTACATAGGCGGTACCCAATCCCATCCATTTCAATGACATGTAATAGAGTTCGTATTGTTGATTCGTGCAAACTCAAACGGAAATTATCACACGAACCTGGTGGAGTATAATGGCAAAAACGTCCATATCGAATCATTCTAATTATCAATAAAAGATCTACCATATATCATTGCTTCTTAGCATTATGGATGACACTTTTCGCTCGCAAGGGACCGTTTAATGATAATTGATTTCTCCGTATCTGCATATTTATTGAGGGTGGATATTTTTGACGACTCTTTAGTGGCACAGAAAATGTTCAGATTGAACGAGCTTTGTATCCATGGCTATATTACTTCGTTCGCAGTTCAGACATCATTCAGAGAACCGTTACGAACGCTTACTGAGGCATTCTGTGCTACCAAAACTAAGCAAAAAGCTGGTGCGAAGGTGATCTGACTGGTTACGATTTATTCAGCCGTCGGTGGGACCTCACCTCTCCGGGGAAAACTATCCAAGACGACAATGGTCACCTCCCTGGAGAAATGTACCAATTTTTACTCACAACAAACTACGGGGGGCAAAACAATGATAGCATGGAAGAGATGAATTGGCCCTTACTAGAATACAGCCGTATAGAAAGCTAAGGGCGAAGCACACGAATAGAGATAGATCTTGGAAAGAGATGCTCTGCACTGGTCAAAACTAATCAGAGTTACAATCGGATGCTATCCACTTTGCGTATCGAGCCTTTATTCTGTTCCATTTTCGCTCGTAGAAGCCTACCTAGTCCATGGGGAACTAGCGAAGTGTGATGAAATGCTCAATGGTTGTAAATACTCGAAACATAGGGATTTCTGTGAACAACGTTAGAAGATATAGCGGAGACGGTTGGCTTTCAATAGCCTGTAATATTCCTGTAATGACCTGTAATATTCTTTGACGGAAAGCTGAAGTTTATTAGCAAAATCAAATAAAACGTGGCATGTTTAAGCCTGCCGCTTCTAGCGTTAGCGATAGTACTGCGTTTCCTAATTAAGCAGTCATATCACGAAAAAAATTAGAGATATAAACTTTTTGATGCCAATTTCATATTTAGCTACTTTGTCTCTCCATTTCTGCTATAAAATAAATAAGAAACATTTTCTATTAATGAAGCGGCGGTAATATGACAGCTCGCCAGGTTAGTCACCCCCCAGTCGTCGCCCGTGGTAGCCTATTAGGTAGTGTATTTGTATACTAATCTTAGAGACTGACTGTGGCATAGGTTCGAACCTGGGTATAGATACACGGCTCGCTTCATGCTAGGAATCAGCCGGCCGCATGATAAAATGGGGTAACAGCAATACCGCACGTAAACGCTCAAAGGCTAGAGGTTCAATGAATTGAATTAATTTGTGGTAAGCTAAAATGATTTGTTACTGGCTTCGAAGGATAACAAAGTGAAAAAGGTTTCTCTAATTGAGTCGACAAATTGTATAAAAATCGAAAAAAAAAAAAAAAAGAAAAAAACATGTAACCGATTATTGTTAGCTTTGTAGATGTCCGCCAAGACGTCTTTGGCACATATGAATATCGAAATTGTATTGTTATTTTAATTTGATAACAGTATGCTGATCTTCTTTGTTAATGCATTATCTTCTCACTAGCTTTCAGACACTACGCACCGCGAGTCAGCCTGTTACCGATAAGGTCAGATTCACGAAAGTATTTAAAATAGCGACTATGGCCGCTAGGATGCTTAAGCATTTGGGCTGAACCATTTTTACAATTCCATTGAGATCTATCAGTGTTCTTTCTATGCGTGGCTTTCGACTCCTGCTGCCTAAATCCGCCCTTACCCATCGAGACTTTTCTGTCCGTTCACGAAATGCCGCGCGCTATCTAATTAGTAAGTCGCGCCTTTTTCACCGCCGTTGGTGATCGCAATTAACAATTAACATTAATCTTCATTAATGACTTGCCCACGCCCACTTCAATTCGGCTTACGGACGGCTTGGTACGATTCTATCTCCCTATTTCTCCAAATGGCAAGGCTCGCTTTTTCTCCTGCCTAACTTGGTAGGGGATAGAGTTTGCTTGACAAAACGACTATAGACAACTTGGCGTGTCGTACCCACTGAATGAAATTACTTTCCGCACGCGCAAAGGCCATCTATACTTGAATGTTTGCAGGGTACGGGTAGAAGGCAGACCGAACCTCCCGCAATAGCTGCACCAATAACTATGAACTCTTTCAATAGAACTGTTTAAATAGTTATTGTGAATCAACTAAAAACACTAACAAAAAGGTAACAATGATAAATATCCATCAGAAAAGCACGCTCAAGAAAATACTTAATTAATTAAATTAGTTCTGAAATTAATTAAAGGCACTAGTTTCCTTCAGAGACACCCTTTCAAACTATTCGATATTAACAGCTTTAATCAGATGTTCGATATTGTTTTGTTTGCTTTATCCCTTTCTTTGCCCTTACTTAGGGAGCCGGCCTAACAATATATTTTAGGTTATATATTTCATCACCACTTTGCTGACCAGGCATTCCCGTGATACCAATGAAAGTGAGGTGTTTTTCGGGTTAACAGAAATACAATGCGACACATAGGAAAGCTCTGAACAAAAAGAACGAAGAATACAGGTGGATACATCTAGTGCTGAATTAGCCCAGGCACTTTTTCAGGGATAGACTATCCCTGTCCCGAGTCGAGGGGTAACGTTTCAGTGTCCTGTGAGCCCCGTCTCTTTGTAGCTTCAACAGCGCGCCCCCCGCCATCCTTTAACGTTCGCATCGAACTGGTTCTTGCCTGTGTAGCGTTTCGTGAGTCACCATTGCCGTCGTCCGCGGGTGAGGTATTTCCTGTTCAATATCCGAAAGCCATCGCCTTAGTCCCGAGCTTTCAGCCCCTCTCGTTGCCTCTCGCCGTCCCCCCACTTCATCACTAACATTGTGGTGTTTCTCAGATTGCCAAGCCCCCCAGACCGGGTTAACCTCCCAGTTTTTTTCTTAGGACTGTCTCCTACTTATTTCCCACTGTAGTAGCTAGTCGACCCCGCCTCGAAGCTTGCAAGTTGACCACGGTTTCCTTACAGTCGCAGATGACACACGAACAAACCCGGAAGGAGCCACCTCTACCGCTAGGCGTGTGGCCCGATACTGTACGAACGTAGACGGAGTTTAAGCAGCACAAGGAATATTGGGGTAAAGAGGGAGAGGGGACGAGTGAGGGATGAGGAAAAGGGTCGGCCTTCCAACTTTTCTGCTTGCTAAGCACGTTCGGGCATCGGCTTCGTTGTTGCCGTTAGCTTTCTTTTCGTTCTTTTTGCCTTGCCTTTCTCTCGTCTCTCTTAAGTTTTCTTCCACCTCGAAGCTGCTTTTCGCGCCTTCTCAGTAGCCTCCTAACGAGCTGTGACCAATACCCCGACAGGGGCCCATGCAGAGACGGCCATCTCTGCGGGTTTGGCTGCTCTATCTCGTCCACCAGTTTGGGATAAATATTTCCCCCAACGTCGCGTCCGCCAACATTTTGTTTACAGACCAACAAAATCTAAGGTTGATGGAAGAGGAAAAAGAATGGACCGAGAAAGAACACGACAAAGATGAGAACACTGAGAAAGCGGAAAAAAAGGAACGAAATAAGGACAAACAGCAAAAAAACGAACACTCGTAGGCGCGCTGGACAACCAGATCTGAACATGTCTACAAATCGCTTGAAATCCCTCTGTGGAACAGGGTCCAAAACGATGCAAGAGGATAAAAGTCTTGCTGAACAGTTTCCCTCATTAGGTCCAGAAGTTAAGTTAATCGAGACGGACTTCCGTTTCGAATTTTTATATTTAGGCTGTCTGTAAGATACGTGGCGGGCTAACGCATTATCTCGTTTCCTTATCTAATTAAGATTTGGTTTAGAACAAGTGCATATTCATAGATCGATCATAGTAGTCTGCTGATGTTTAATCCTTTATAAGCTACTTTCTGTAAAGCTTATTCTAAAAGTTATGTTTTGTTAATCCAGCAGCCCTCTGT